CAGCAGAGGCCCGGGTCTGAGGTGGTCTGAAGCCAACCAGGCACGGAGGGGGCAACAGCACCCAGCTCCCTGCATCAGCTTTTGGTAGCGGTGGTCTGTTCTCAGGTGACAAACCAGCAAAGCTCTATGGCTGGAACAACAGGTTTATTCTTCTCACAACTCTGTGAATGGGCTGGACACTCCTGCCGGCTTGTCCTGGCTCTCTGCACTGGGCTGGTGGCATGGTTGAGGCTGGATGGCCTAGGATGACCTCATGCTTGCCCCGGGGTCTTCCCTGGGGCCCAGAGAGGGGCCAGTCTCAGCACTGTCCCTTGGGCTCATGGTTCTGAGAAGGAGTGTTGTGAGCCTTGGAGGTCTGCAGCACCCCTCTGCCAGATGGCACTGGGCAAAACGCAGCAGGACCAGCCCAGACTACGGGGACAGGCAGTTCTTGCTGGGTCATGTTCACCAGTGGACTCATGGGGTCATGGGCAGCACCTTTTGTAACAATCTCCTGCACTGTTGCCTTTAACATGTAAGGGTTTGGATAATTCTGGTTGGCCTTTTTAAAAACTAATTCTAGGAAAGGACATGCCACTGTTTTTCTTAGTTTGGGGTTGGGGCAGTTAACCGAGGGGGTGATAGGCTGGCCTGAAAGAAGCCGCACAGTACCTTGTCAAGGCAGCCTGGCCTCCCTCTCCAGGTCTGGACCATGGGCCTCAGAGCATGGGCCCCAGTCCAGTGGCATCTGTTACCGGAACTCTGTAATTATGGGGCCCCTCACCAGATTGACTAAATCAGAAATCGGTGGGGCCAGGTGGTCTGATGAGCCTGGCGGCAATTCCGATGCCCGCTAAGATCCCAGAGACACAGGTGCTGGGGTGAAAGTGGGAACCAGCTCTGCCCTCACGAAGTCACGCAGGGCTTGCCACCTCTCCTTACCCTTGTCAGCAGGGAGGCTGTTCTCCTCCCCCTCCCTCCCAGGGCCTTCTGATCTGGGCCCTGCGGAGTCAGTGTACACCGGGGGCTCTCCGACCACTCGGGAGTTCATTGACCCGCCCCCTCCCCAAGTTCCATTTGCTGCTGTGGCCAGCACGTGGGTGGGAGGTGAGTAAGATCTGTCCCCAAACTCCCTCAGCCTGGGGTCTGGCAGGGAGGTGGTGCAGGAGGCTCAGACGAGAGGGTGGTCGTGGTCAGCAGGGGAGGTGGCACATTGCCTTAGATCAGAAAAGATGATCACCTGTCACTGGTCCTAGGAGTCAGTAGGTGGTAATTTAAAAGTGTTCCTTCAAGGTAGCTAGCTGTTTATTCATCAGAGTGCATCCGAGTGTCTAAATAGGTGGATTCTGCCCTCTTTCCCCCAGCGTATGACTGTGAGAATGTTCAGTGTCCCTGTTGACTGGCCAGCGAGGTTTGGGAAACAGGGTCCCAAAACGTTAAAACTGCTTGACAGCCCTGGGGAGACGGCACAGAGAGCAGATGGCACCTTGAGGGGAGACCTGGATGAGGGCTGGCCTAGGTAGAGTCTGGGCATAAAGATTCTCCTAGAACTAGGAGGACTGGAGGAGTAGCTGAAGGCAGGGCCATAGGTGCCAGGGGACTGGAAAGTTACCAGGAGGAGGAGGGCGTGGCCGAGGCCTGGAGGCTTGCAGGACTCCGCATCATTGGTGCTCAGAGCCAGGCTGCCGCGGTGGGGAAGGACCAGGCAGGTCTAGATGACTTTCAGGGAACTTCAGGGGAAGGAGAGCGTGAAGGAGGCTGGTTGACGTTTGTTTTGAACGGGAGAGATCTGAGCACGATGCCAAGGTCTGAGAGTCAGTAGAGAAGGGAAATGGGAGAGTGAGCCGAGGAGAGGGTTCCTGATGAAGCTGAGTCCTTAAGGACAGGATGGATCCCAGAGCCCAGCTTTTAGGGTTGGCCATGAGGAAAAGGAGGACCACCCTGCCTCGTCCTGGAGGGAAGGAGGTAAGGGAGGGGCCTGCATTCTCCCCTCATCTGACTTTCCTTATCCTTAAATGGAAATCTAACCCTTAGAGAGAAGGGTGGGGATGCAGGTTGAAGGCAGGATATGTGCAGCTTGTTCGAGCTATGAGGCACCCATGGGGGTTCTCTGGTATTCTGTGGGAACGGTTGTAAAAATGATTTTGAAGGTTACTCAGCTGAAGTGTTTGACAAGTTTGAAAATAATGTTAAAATAATATTAAAAGGCTACTCACTAGCCTCAAAACAGTTCTCACTGAAAAAGCAACCCTGAGCCCTAACTGCTTGACTGTCTTGGTAAAGCCAAGGGAAGCTTCCTGAATCCATGTGGTATCTAAAAGACGTTTGGAGTATAGTTCCATGCCTGAAAACAGTTTAGCAGTTTCTCAGGGGGAAAAAAAAAAAAAACAACAAACTTCAACAACCCAGCATTGCTATTAATCACCCAGATGATGTGTTTAGTGCAGTACTTCAAGTAGAAATGAAGGTGACTAGCTGGTTTCATTTTTAGCTCAGTGAATGCTTGCTTCGCTTTTTATGAGCTGGGGGAACCGTGACTGGAGCCATGGCTAGCCTTGTTAGTCCCTGCTGGTTAGTGATCCACACAGGGCAGAGCTCAGAGTGAGCTTTTTCTCAGTAACCCCAGGATGCGTGTCACATTGCGTGTGTAACCTGCAGCACACAGATCTCGCTTTGTTCGTTTTTACTAGTGGTTGGGGGGCTTGGTGAGCTCATGCGCTGTTCTGCGTGCAGTCTCCAGTCTGGGGCAGGGTCCTGCCTTCTGTGTGTGGACCCGTGATTCTCCCCTCACGCTGTTGTGCGCACGGGCTCCTGGTGGGCACTGGGCATTTGGCACGGTGAGGCTGCCATGTGAGGAGGGGCGGGCTGGCTTTCTGTGGATCCTTGTAAAGCAGTTGCCAGGAACTACTTGGTGTCCATGTGTCTCTCCTGGAAAGGTGCTGGGTGCTCAGTGCCTGATTTGCCCGGCCCACTTAGCTCAGGCGCTGCTGGGATTGCCCACCCTTTGTGTAGAACACACTTCGGGTCCCTGCTCCATGGGTTCCTCCTCGTCCCATGTCTTTTCCTCTCATTTCTTATTGTTCTCTTTCTTCCCCTCCTGTTGATCCTGTTCCTTCATACAGGGTCAGAAAAGCCATGGCACATTTTTGCATAGAAAAACAGAAAATATGTCATGACTTTTTCAATGACCCGGTGATTTGGTTGCTCCGAAGGACTGAGAGACTCCAGGGCCTGCCTGGCACCGTCCTCCCCGAGCCTGACGTTCCTGAGAGCAGGGGTGTTAGTAGGCGGGTGGCTCTCAGAGCCCTCTCTTGCTCAGTGGGGTTCCAGGCTGCTTGGGCTGGGCAGTGGCGAGATGTGCAGCATTTCTGGCTCTGCTTGCTACGTTCCTGTCACTCATCAGCTTTGTGACAGACAGCCCCCTCACTGCATTTAGGTCCCTGCACAGGGATGCCAGGTCACTGCCCCCGCGGAGATGTCGCTGTTCACCCAGCTCTGCATGGGGTTGTGGCTGGGTGGGAGCTGAAGTCTGCAGGTAGGCCCCGTGGCCCCACTTCCTCTGCGTGGACTTGCAGCTAATCAAGCGGGGTGAGAGCTTTTAGAAACTATTGATATTTCAAGGCTACAAGATTCATGCAGAAAAAGAAAAGAGGCCGCTGCTTGTTTTCCTGGCTCTGGTGGGATGGGTGCTACTCAGGTGAAGGCAGCAACTGTAAATGAAGTGTCATAATACTGTATTTACCAGACTGTGCAGATGGCCCGTTAGCAAACAAGGATAGTGTGGGTTGACATCTTTTCTGTGATACGGTGTAGCTAATCTTTGTTTTAGTAAATACCCATCTGAATTTAAGAAATTACAGAGGTAGAGTGGAGAGAAAAGTGGAATTTTTCCTTGATAAGAGGGATTTTTCAATAAATCTACTCTAACATGTTCAAATAAGTGTTCAGGTTTTTATATACTTTTATTCTACATTTTTATGTAGAAAAGCTGGAGCTTTGTGCTTTTTTCTAGTCTAGCCGGGCTGTTGTTACACAATTGCTGTGTAATGCACACTTGTAGGTAGGAACTCAGAATCTGGTGCTCTGAACCTGGAGAACTGTGGTCTTAACCAGCCTGATCCTTAACATGGATAGATCAGTCCCTGAAAGACTGTGGCCTGTGAGATCATAAATCAAATAAGCAGTCATGGTGCTGTGAGATATTAACATTCTCCTCCTTTTCCTTCTCTCCTACAGAACCTGAAAGCAGATCCAGAAGAGCTTTTTACCAAACTGGAGAAAATTGGAAAGGGCTCTTTCGGTGAAGTGTTCAAAGGCATTGACAATCGGACTCAGAAAGTGGTGGCCATAAAAATCATTGATCTGGAAGAAGCTGAGGATGAGATAGAGGACATTCAACAGGAAATCACAGTGCTGAGTCAGTGTGACAGTCCATACGTAACCAAATATTATGGATCCTATCTGAAGGTAAGGCTTAAAAATAACACGGCTTTCCATTATGCAGTACTCGGCGAGCCTTGAGCCGTGGAGGAGGACTTGAATAGCACAGCAGGCTTTCAGAGGAAGGAGAAGTGTTTTGACCTTTGGGATCAAAAGAACCTGGCTTTGATAGTTTTATCATCTTAAATGTCACCTATAGAAGCATATCTCTGGTGAAAGAATTTGGTGTTGAAATTTCCCGTGAAACAAGAAGGTATTTCTGAGTGGGACTTGGTCATCAACAACCCTTTTGTATTAAGTTATTAACCCAAAAAAACATGTAGTTTTTGGATGGCTTATGATTAGGAATAAAAACCCCTGCCAGTCTAAGAATATTAATCTTTCGGTATTTTTAGGCCTAACCGTGGTTTAATTGAATGTCGTTTTTGAAAACTGCTGAGAATCTGTAATGCTGATTAGTTAGCCGGGTTATCTATGCTTGACTTTGTAAGAACGCTAAGCACATAAATAAATTACTAGTTGTACTAGTAGAAAGCTATGGATTGTCCTTGACCTCTATCCAGTTCGTTAAGTGAGAAAGAGAATTTAAAAAAGCTTTTCCCTGATCTTGCATGGACCCTTTTTACCGCTTCAGATGTTCTAAGATAATCGTGTTATACTACTTGGGAAGTTTGAGACTATTCTTGGTGTTTCAAGTTCCGTGACACGTGCCTGCTTCACTGAGTTTACATAGGTCGTCTCTCTTAGGTGGGTTTTTGGAAATCTTAAGAATTGGTGAAGAAAACAAATAACGTTTGTGGAAACTGCACCTTTGTAGGTAGAAAAAGCTATTTCCAGAGGAAGGCAGCAATAAACCCGGATAATTTAAAACAAGGCCTCTTCCTCTCTTGAGTTTAGCCCCTAAATTCTCTAAGCTGTGCCTCAGAAGCTAGCCAACATTTTTGTGGAAGTATGATAATAAGTTACAAGTTGAAGAATGGGAATTTTGAGAACTGTTGATTTGGAAAAATGAATGTTTAAAAACAAAATCGAGTGGTCAATAATGCCCCCCCACACACACACACATACACACTGCACATAAAGGGCGGCAACGTGTCATAGGTCACGGGTTGCATTTTGGAACAGAAAGAGTGAGTTTGAACGAGATGCCAGTGCACCTGGATCTTGCTGCGGTGTACTTTGATGTGTGGCTCTGAGTTGTTTTGCTTTGTTTCTTAAACTTCCCTGCTTCCTCACTTGTAATACAGAAAATTATGGTCTATACCTCATCGTTGCAAAGATTAAATGGAATTAAGTATGTGAAAATACCCATCAGTGCTAATTTCCTTCCTTAATTGATTTAATTGATTCATCCCTCGTTTCTTAAATCACCATGCCATGAAGGTAGTTTGCAGTAAAGATGTCCAGTGAGGTGAAACCAAGAGAGTCAGGACCAAGAAAGGAAGAGGAAGGAAACGAATGACAAGAAGTGTTGCTGTCATGGTGCCTCCAGTTTGGGTCTTGACGGAGCAAATAGGGAAGCTCCTCCAGCTTTAGAGTTCTCATGACCCCGTAGGAGAGCGCATGCAGCTTCCGTGGGAGCATGCCAAGGTCGTCTTGATGATTTCACTGGGTTCTTCATAAAGGAAAGCGAGCCCGGAAGCAGCTCAGCTTGGACTCTGCCCCCAGCAGCACTCGCTTTTTTCTCATCTCAGTAGAATGACATAGGTTCCGAGTTGGGTTTCATGTGGCGTGATGATGTATTCTAATGTGAACTGTGATACTCTTGTCAAAGGTAGTGTGGGAGAGCCTGCACAATATTTGGTCATTTATTGTCTCTGCTAATGTTTAACCACAGAAATGAAGGGTCAGTGTCAATGGATCTTCTCCTTCCTCAGCTCTTCAGTCGAACTTTTACGCACGCCGAGGTAGACCGCACTCTTCTGGCCAAACACGGTGCAGTTACCTTGTTAGTACGGTACTAGAGATTCCGTCCCACGTGTCCTGTTCTTGTCTGAGTCACTGATTCTGGAACATTAGGTTCCAGATCAACCTAACCTTGAGCTCGGGTCGTGCAGTGTATTTCGTTTAGCAAACATGTCAGCCACTATAATAAATTCCTTCGCTTTGTGATGATTGAAATACGATGGAAATTTATCTCGTACTTTCTGGCTGCTCTGATCTGAATGTGATTCCTCCAAACACTGATTCAGGAAGCCAGGTCCCTCCTGTCTGTGTGGCTGTAAGGGCTTCCCTAAATCCGTGTGGGGGAGAATGGGAGCTCATGTGCAGGAATTTTTTATGTGCTCAGGCCCCAGACACGGAGCGTGTTATTTCCACCCACATCCCCCTCTGCCGTGATGGTCACGTGACCACACTTGACTGCGGGGAGACTGGGAAATAGCAGTGGATCGCGCGCTTTCTCGGACAGGG